AGTGAGCTACAGCTGCTAAACAAAAGGTCAGCAGTTCAAATCCACCAGCCGCTTCTTGGAAACCCTATAGGGTTGCTATGAGAGCAACTTGTTATCAGACATTTTGCATTTACGACAGTAGTAAAAACTCTATCGGACTATTGTGCACATTATCGATGTATGTCTGGCAGTAATGAACGCCAAGGTGCAAGGCAAGAATAACACTAGCTGTGATGGTTAAGATTGTGTGTCAACTTGACTGGGCCATGATTCTCATTGTTTTGGCATTTATGTAATGATGTAATCATCCTCCGTTTTTTGATCTGATGTGGCCATCCTCCATTTTTGCATAACACTGGTTTTTGCATAATGACCTGGTCTTTGGAACCTAACCATTTTGATAACTGAGGAGTGCGTGTACTTCTTAATCAATTTTTTATTAAATGAAGTCTTTGTATCACAACCCTATTTCTTTTTATAACATTTATCTTAATGTAATTTTATTCCATTAAAGTTACATTTGAAGGTTTGTTGCTTACTGTCTCATCTATCATGGTGACCCCAGTACCTGGATCAGTGCCTTGCAAATAGTAGATGTTCACTAATTTGCTGAATGAATAAATAAATGAACAAATGAGTTATTGCCTACTCTTGTTAATCTTAGAAGACTTTAAAAAATTTTTTTAAAAAATAAAATATTATATAACTATATATATATGTGTGTGTGTGTGTGTGTGTGTGGTGGGTAAAGTATAATACAGTTGTCCCTCAGTGTCTGTGGGGGATTGGTTCCAGGAACCCCTGCAGGTACTAAAATCACAGATGCTCAAGTCCCTTATATAAAATGGCATAGTATTTGCATATAACCTATGCACATCCTCCCATATACTTTAAATCATCTCTAGATTATTTATAATACCTAACACAATGTAAATGCAATTTAAATAGTTGTTACATAGTACTGTGTTGTTTAGGGAATAATGACAAGATGTGAGGCAGACAATGCTCAAACAGTGAGTGCTAGAGAGAGACTGAGGATCTGTGAAATGGTGGGAGGCTACAGCAGGGTATGCCTACACATCATTTCATTCATGTGGATTCAGTGCAGTGCTTAGCATGTGGCAAATTCATATTTTGCTTCTTCCAGCTTTCTCTTTGAATATTTTCAATCCATGGTTGGTTGAATCTGCGGTATTATACAGAAGGCTTATTGTATAACAAAAAATTAGCCATTTTGACCATTTTAAGTGTACATTTCAGTGACATTATATGATTAATTACATTCATCATGTTGTGCAACCATCACTACTATTTCCAAAGCTTTTCATCATCCCAAACAGAAACTCAGTACCCCATAAGCAGTAACTCCCATTCTCCCCTGCCTCTAGCTCTGGTAACCATTAATAACCTTTAGTCTCTATGCATTTGCTATTCTAGATATTTCATATAAGTGGAATCTTACAATTTTGTCCTTTTGTGTTTGACTTATTTCACTCGGCATGTTTTCAAGGTTCATCCATGCTGTGGCATGTATCAGGACTTCATTTCTCTTTGTAACTGAGTAATATTCTACTGTATGTATATACTACATTTTGTTTATCCAGTTCATTTGTTGATGGACATCTAGGTTATTTCTACCTTTTGGCTATTATGAATAGTGCTGCAGTGTACCTTGGTGTATAGGTTTCTGTTTGCGTTCCTGTTTTCAGTTCTTTTGGGTATATAGCTAGGAGTTGAATAGCAGCGTCATAGGGTAGCTCTGTATTTAACTTTCTAAGGGACTGCCAAACTGGTTTCCACAATGCTGTACCATTTTGCATTCCTACCATCAGTGGATGAGGGTCCCTATTTTTCCACATTTTTGCCAACGCTTATTTTGTTTTTCTTTCCTTTTTTTTTTTTTTTTTTAATCGTAACCATTCTAGTAGTGGTGAAGTGGTATCTCATTGTGGTTTTGAGTTACATCTCCCTAAAGGTTAATGATGTTAAGCATCTTTTCATGAGCTTGCTGGCCATTTGAATATCCTCTTTGGTGAAACGTCTGTTCAAGTTCTTTGCCCATTTTTTGATTGGATAGTTTGTCTTTTTGTTGTTACCTTTATAACTGTATTTTAATATGTCATAAGGAAATTTTGAAAGTATTTAAGATTGACTTTTTTGTGGTTAGGAGCATTCGGAGTATTTATATGTAAACCGGAAGGTAGTTGGCAGATTGGCTTCGTGGATCTGATGATTTTCACTTTAACAAATTATATCACACTTACTCCTAAGGTAACTCTGAAAAACTCAGTGTAACTGTTTTTTAAGGTGAGGACTGTGAAGCTCAAAGAAGTTAGGTCATTTGTTTGAGGTCACACAGCTAATAAGTGTCAGAGCTGGGACTGAGCCTAAGGTTAAAAATTCCTGCTTTTTCTACTGTACTACACTGCTGTATGTATTTAATGGGTGCCTACTTCATGCAGGACACTTAGGTTGCTATTTTATTGAATTTTTTCTTCTATTTCATTAATTCATATTTATACTCTTATCTTTATTTCTTTTTGCCTTCACACTGTTCTTTTTTTTAAGCTTCTTAAGTTGATTGTTTAACTGATTATTTTCAGTATTTCATTTTCTTTTTATTGAATCCAAGTAAATGTCATTAACCTTAAGGACTCTTTCAGCTGCACTTTACAAGTTTTGAGATAAAGTACTTTCATGGTCATTCACTTTTAAACATTTGAAATTTCTTACTTTAATTCATGGGTTGTATAAGCAATAATATAGTTTTATTTTCTAAACGTATGAATTTACCTTTATATATATATGGGGCGAGGAGAGACAGAGATAGAGATATAACTCCTAGTTTAATTGCATTTTGGTCAGAGACCATAATCTGTATAATATTGACCCTGAAATTTGTTGGTAATTCCTTTGTGGTATCATATATGGACAAATTTTGTAAATAGCTATGTCTTAATTATCTGGTGCTGCTATAACAGAAATACCACAAGTGGATGGCTTTAACAAATAGAAGTTTATTCTCTCACAGGTTAGGAAGCTAAAAGTCTGAATTCAGGGCACCAGCTCCAGGGGAAGCCTTTCTCTCTGTAAGTTCTGGAGGAAGGTCCTTGTCCTCAATCTTCCCCTGGGTCTAGGAGTTTCTCAGCACAGGGGACCCTGAACCCAAAGAATGCGCTCCACTCCCGGCTCTTCTTTCTTGGTGATAGGAGGTCCCTATTTCTCTGCTTGCTTCTCTCTCCCTTTATCTTTTGTAAAATAAAGGTGATACAGGCCACATCCCAGGAAACTTCCCTTACATTGGATCAGGGCTGTGACCTGAGTGAGGGTGTTGCACCCTACCTTAATCCTCTTTAACATAACTTAATCATGCCTCATTAACCACAGGCAGAGATTAAGATTTACAACACAGGAAAATGACATCAGATCACAAAATGGAGGCCAACCACATAATACTGGAAATCATGGCCTAGCCAAGGTGACACATATTTTTGGGGGACACTATTAAATCCATGACAATCTGCTTAAAGATATGTTTCATATTTCTAACCAGTTATTATTATGATGGTTCCAAACGAAACTAAACCTGTTGCCACTGAGTCGATTCCAACTCGTAATGACTATAGGACTGGGTAGAACTGCTCTGTAGGGTTTCCAAGGCTATAAATCTTTACAGAAGCAGACTGCCACGTCTTTCTTCCACAGAGCAGCTTGTGGGTTTGAACCACCAAACTTTTGGTTAGCAGCTGAGTGCTTAACCACTGCACCACCAGGGCTCCTTTATGATAGTTATAGAGTTCTATATAGATCTTTTAGCTCACGCGTGGTTAAAATATTACTTCAAAGTATGGTACTTATATTTAGCCTTAAATTTCTGGTTTGAATATGCCGAGTTATTTGGTGTCTTCATAACAATTATTTTTTTCTGGTCTAGTGTTCAGTCTGGGATCATGCACTGAATCTAGTTTTCACGTGCCTTTAGTCTTTTTAATCTGGCCTGTTTCTCAGCTTCTCTTTGTCTTTCATGACAATAACATTTTTGAAGAGTTCAGGTCATTATTTTGTAAAATGTCCCTCAATCTGAGTTTCTCTGTGATGTTTCATCATGATTAGATTTAGGTTATACCTTTTGGACAGAAATACCTCAGAAATGATATTGTATTATACTCAGTGCACTTGAGGAAATGCGTGATGTTGGTTTGTTCCATTACTGGTGATCATTTCATAACTTGGATCAGTTGGCTAAAGTGATTCATCCCAGGTTTCTTCGTTGTACAATTTGAATTAGTAATTTGTGGGGAAATACTCTGAAACTATGTACATATCCTATTACTCACCAAACTTTTACCCACTAGTTTTAGCATCCACTAATGATTCTTGCCCATCAATTATTATTATGATGGTTACAAAATGGTGGTTTTCTAACTGCATCATTACTTCGTATGTATTAGTTGGCATTCTACTGCAAAGAAAAGCTTTCCCTTCTCCCCCATTTATTTATGTCAGTACGGACTCCTGGTTTATTTTATTTAATGGGTTTATAATCTGTTACTATCATTATGTACTTTGGTGCTCAGATGTCCCAAATTGGCCAGTATTCGCCCCTTTAATCTGGCTCCTGTGTGACATGTCTTCATCGTCATTATTTGAGCACTTCCTTATTTTAGGTACAAGATGTTCCAGGCTCATCTTGTACATTTCTTGCCCCAGCCCTGGAATTGGCCATTTCTCCAAGAAGGCCTGGTGTTTCTTTTAGTAGATTATCTAAGGCAACATAAAATAATATTTCAAAACTGAGGCCTATCACTCATTAGCTGAGTTGACTTGGTCAAATTGCTTAACCTCTCTAAGCTCTACTTTTTATCTGGAAAATGAGAATAAAAATGATACATATCTCATAGTGTTGTGAGAATTAATTTAGATAATCCACTTAAAGAACAGTGTATGTCACATAGTAAACTGATGTCAGTGCTGCCTATTATCGTTATTACATTACTATTCCCTTTCTTTTCCTTCAACAGAATGTTCTTTTAAAGGATTTTTGAAGAGGAAGTTCTTCTTTTTTTTTAATGGCTTTACAGAATCTTAAATAGAATACCATTTGACATGACGGCAAAACACGTAAGTATTTGTAAATTTTAAAAGTAAGTGTTTTTAAAGTGAGCTGTACTTTTTTGTATGCATGTTTTCTCACCATTCTGATTAATCAAATTCTGTTTACCTGTGTGGATTTATAGTTGTTTTTGTTTGTACAGAATATGAGACAGTAAACTTAGAAAAATACTATTGAAGACAGTATTCCAGTGGACCTGGTAGCATTCTTATAAATTGCTGCCAAGTTTTTCCTTTTCAACAGCTGCAAAACTGCTCTCTCTAGAAAGTGTCCCACCCTTCTCCTATTTGGGGTTCTGTAATAAATTTTTGGTGGTACTTGCTGGAGAGTTACTTGGCCTTATAAAGCAAATCCCTGGTTTCATTGGCTTAATTTTGCCTTTTGAGTTTACTCAGAGCAATGTGTATACCCAAATATTGTTCAGAATATGTTTGCTATCCTCCATGAGATGGTTCAACATAAGACTTTAAATGTTTTAAAGATGTTATTCAATTTTTTTGCTCCTCTGCTTGAGGATATCATTTCTGAATGGAGTCCCCTTCAAGTTATATTTTTATTGTCACCTTATATCAACATTTTTTTCCAGTTATAGTGAAGGATTATACCAGAAAGTCAACAGTACAACTGTAGAGTGGGGGTTGATGATAAATTGCTTTAGTGTTCCCAAATTGTTATGTTGGCATCTTTGACTGCAGGTAGCAGAAACCAGCTCAGACTACCTTAAACAAAAAGGGAATTTATTACAAAGATACAGGGATGTCTCAGGGAATTCAAGAGTAGGAGTTTAGTGGGGCTTCAGCAAGATCTAGGCTCAGGAATGGGAAAACCACCAGGAATTGAAGCATATTTGGTTTCCATCTCTCATCTCTGCTTGTCTCTATGCATTCGCTTTATTACTCTCTCTCTTTTTGCAAATCATCTTCCTCCATTACCCAGCCTGCATGGCAGAACACGACCCTCTCAGAATCTTGGTTTGCATGTTATGGGATCAGAGAGAGGTGTAAAGGAAGGGAGGGTGGCAGCCTGGCAGATCCTGACTGTCTATATCAGCTCCAATTTCAGACTCCTTGGGAAGAACCCGTGGCACAGCTTGAGTCTGATATTCAGTAGTGGTTTGGTCAGATCTGACCAGAAGTGGCAAGAAACGTATTTTGTAAAATGGCTGCTGGGGCTCACCACAGTGGGTAAGGGGAGGTGATAAAGGGCTCCTTGTGAGTCAGGTAAATAGTTACAAATGCTGCCCATAATGCATTGAAACCAAAAAACCCTTTGCCGCTGAGTCATTTCTGACTCATGATGACCCCACATGTTTCAGAGTAGAACTGCACTCAAGGCTGTAATCTTAGAGCAGTAGATCACCAGGCTTTTCTTCTCTGGCTCCGCTGGGTGGATTTGAACTGCCAGCCTGCCGATTAGTAGTTGAGAGCAAACTGTTTGTGCCGTCCAGGGGCCTATACATCTAAAGAATATCATAAAAAACCCTTATTATATTATCTCTATTTTCTTATTTTTGGTTATAAATCAGCCTTGCTTTTAACATGTGTCAGTAGCTATAAGCAAATAAGGATTTTGCTTCATTATGATAATTAATTTAATTTTAGGATAAATTATTAGAAGTAGTCTGCTTTAATCTAAGGCTCCTATATAGATTTCTTAAAGAGCTGCTTGTGGTCGTCTAACTTTGGGAAAAAGAAGACGCAAAATTTTAGTCTATATATTGGAAATTTTCTTCTATGATATTCGCTCCTTTAGAAAAATGAGAATATAAAAGTTACCCTGAACAACAAGACAGTTGCATTCAACTAGCAAGTATATTTGGCTCAAAATATACCTTGAATGAAATATAATCTTCCTGGCCATATGTACAGTTTGCTATATTAAAAGTTGTTTCCCTATAAGACAGTACACAATACTGGGGAAGCCAGCACAACTTGTACAAGGAAAAGGTCAGGGAAGCTCCACAGATACATCCAAACTCCCTGAGGGACTGAATTGCTGGGCAGAGGGCTGTGGGGACCATGGTCTCAGGGAACAGCTAGCTCAATTGGCGTAACACA